AAAAAAAAAAAAAAAAAAAAGAAAGCAAAAAAGAAAACTGAGGCTTAGAGGGTTCCCGAGACTCACTTGCTTCGCCAGTCAGCAAATCAGTTGCAAGCCTGGAGCACAGCACCTGCAGAAGGGGGTCCCTCCATGTCTGCGCAGTGATAGCAGCAGCATGGAGTGTTGTGGGGGCACTGAAACAGGTGGCCTCGTTCTAGCAGGGGAGGGTTGGGACTGATCGAAGAGGAGTTGACATGGGCTGTAAGGTGGGCAGGAATTGGGGGGTGGAGACGGAGGCTCTGGGCAGAGACTTAAGGGGTCCTGGATAAGGAGAGGACGGCAGGAAGCCTGCAGGAGCGGGGCCAGTGAGGCCCGAGGTGAGAACAGCGCCAGGTGACTGGTGGACCAGCCAAGACTCCGTCACCAAAGGACACAGGGGGCAAGGTGGAAGGTGGGGGTGACGGCGTTTCTGGCACAGGGAACGGCTCTGCAAGGGCCGGGAGGAGGAAAGAGGGTGCTGGAATGTGGGAGGTAGGGGCGTGGTGCTCCCCAGAGGCTCCTCACCCCAATCCCCCCTCCCCTCCAGGGATCTGCGGCGACTGGAAGAACCACTTCACGGTGGCCCAGAGCGAAGCGTTCGATCGTGTCTACCGCAGGCAGATGCAGGGGATGCCGACCTTCCCCTGGGATGAAGACCCGGAGGAGGACGCCAGCCTGGACCCTGAGCCCAGACCCAGCCCCGGCCCCAGCCCCAGCCCCAGCCCTGGCCCCAGCCAGCCCTCTGAGCCGTCGCACCCGAGACCCTGAGAATAAACACGTCGCTTCTGCCCAGGTTCCTTGATGTGCTGTGGAGGTGGCAGGGCGTGCAGCGGGGCGTGGAGATTGCACACCAAGGCCTCCGGAGGGTCCCCAACTCAGAACTCCGCCCGGACGCAAAGGTGCTGCAGGAACCCAGCGCTGGGTATCTCACCTCCCGGGATGGGGCCTGACTCCCCGGTCTGAGGGAGGACAGGCTGGGGGCCTGGACTCCAGAGTCTGAGGAAAGACGGTCTGGGGGTCTAGATTCCTGGGTGTGAAGGAGGAGGGGCTCGAGGCCTGGACTCCTGGGTCTGAGAAAAAATGGTGTGGGGTCTGGACTCCTGGGTCTGAGGGAGGAGGGGCTGAAT